CATTGCATATTATTGTATGCATGTTTGAATCCATCTATGTATCTATTCATCACTTCGGCTGAATTTTATCCATTCAAACTCAACTCATATTCCCACTTTTCACACATGTATCATATTTTTTATAAAGCAGATAGCCGTCGCAGCTCTCCCACCACTTGACTGTGATCTTTGTGGTTCTTTGTCATGTGCATCTTAATGATAGACCACAAAAATCTGCTCCTTCAGCTCAAGGACGAGGTGAAAAAGCATATTTTGAGTTGCCATGGTGTCACATTTCTACATTTTGCCGAAAAACACATCTGGGAATTGACTGTATACGTTTCTCTATAACCCACAATAATGTCTTTTCTTATTGAAACTACCCACTCATTGAGCCAAGATTTGCTTTGGTGCAGAATGAAACAAGCACATTAATTCAAAAAAGACAAATTATCCCTCAAGCTATGGCTGATGATTCTCAAAAACAAGGCATGTATACTGTAGCAGTGCATCTCATGGGGGGACTCTCCGGAAAGATTCACCCCTGCTCCACATGTAATGAATATCCGGCTCTAAATAATAACTTGTAGCCTTGTTAGCGGCGTCTTTTGTCTTGCACACAGGCACAGATTGTAGCGTTCGAGCAGTTTGGAGAATAGGAAGCGAGGCAACTGCATTATGGCTGGCTTTCGTGTGTTAGTTGCCATGGAGACGTAGAGTGTAGGTGGTGTGCTGTACCACTTCTGTGCCCTGCGATCTGCAACAGCCCCGCAACTTCACGTTCACTTCGTTTTTTTTGGGATTTAGAGCAAGAGAAATAATACTAAATACACACATATGTTTTTATATATGTGTATTTATGTATGAGGGAATGGGAAATGATTATGTGAAGTTGGCTGTCAGTGATATAATAGAAATGCTGTTGCTGTAATAAGCTCATCAGTCGGGTTGAAAAGATGAATCGAGTTATGGGATTAATCAATTACAAAGATTATTTTGATTAATTGGTGGATTTATGCAGCTTACATAGGCAGAGGTGTACTGCGCTTGCTGATGCATGGATTTTTCTACGTATATTTGTACTTCTCTGTGTGGAATCTGACTTTAGGTTTTAGTGCAGGTGTCTCCATTCTCTTTCACCCAGAGAGCTACTTTCCCGGGACACTAAAGGCAGAGAGCTACTTCTTTATGCAGCCCTGGTAATAATGTAGAGATATATTGCTGTGAACAAGGCTGATATTGGGTACAGTCAATATTTATCAACGCATATTTGCTACTAATGCCACAAAGTAAATGAATTTACAATCATACATTATTATTATTAAGGCAACAGTGGCTCAGTTGGTAGAGCATTGGCCTTTGAGCCTGAAGGTCGTGGGTTCGAGCCCACCGTAAGACCTACTTCATGACTAACAACTGATGACTGCTGTCGTTGTGTCCTTGGGCAAGACACTTTACCCCACTTTGCCTGAAGCCCCCACTGAAAGATCTCAGCTCCTGTGGACTCACCACCTGCAGGAGGATCAGTGAGGGGCTGGTGCTCTGTGGACTGGGTGCAGCTCTGACTGCCACCCCCCCGACCCAGAAATGGATTAAGGGGAAGAAAATGTATGGATGGATGGATAATTAATATTACAATCTGAATTAAGTATAATATTTGATTTGTTCATTTCTAAGTCTTTAGGGGAGCTTCCTGGAAGGGGGTGGCGAGCTACTGGTGGCTCCCGAGCTACAGATTGGAGACCCCAGTTTTAATGGGACTTTAATGCTCCTTACCCTCTGCTGTGTGGAAGGCGTTAGATAAATAAACTTTACTTAGTTAAAAATGTTGCACATCACTCAGAAAGAATGAATTTCTGCACTTGGCGTCGATGCAGAAACAATATTTAACAACGTAAAAACATATATTTTGAATAAATTGAATGTACAAGTAGATTAAAACAAAATGAATGAATGAAAACTACTTTTAAGCCATGGCAAACACGAACAAAGAATAGAAAAAGAAGCAACACGTGATAAAATACCAATAGATATATGGACTTTATAACCCCCATCCCCATCCATCATTCTAAATTAACTTAACCTAAATTATGTGGCTGTGATTATAACACAAAACCACAGAATAATGACTAAAACACATGAAAGAGATTTGTCATTTCACTAATAATATAAAATGGTAACTTTATATTTTTGTCAATTTTGGGCTGAATTGGGCCGATTCTTTTTACTGTCCTGAATACTAGTGAAAGAAAAAACTAAAACAATGAACAATATATACAAGCAATCATCCCATATTACTCATAAAAAAATAAATTCCCGTGTTTTACAAGCGTATTGGCAAACTTGGGTGAGGCTTTTCCCAATTGCACAGTGAAATTGAACACACAAACCCTGGCAGCCGTTGTGAGTCCTGCTTGCCCCCTGCGTTGCCCAGTTTCTGGCTGACCCTGTCACTGGGAGCATATTTTTTCTTCATCTCTCTCTTTGCACACTACTCTTTTATCAGTTTCCATGGCGATGTGTCTGTGTGAGTGCGGCTGTACAGTGAAAGAGAGAGGGAGAGAGAGACAGAGAAAGGGAGATTTGTCATTTCTCGTTTTTTTATTTGTGCAAGCGGTACAGCCTGTGTCCCAACTTAGACACAGACTTTTTGACTTTTTGACTTCGGGAGGCAATTTCATGATGGTTTGGGAACATGTCATTACTGGCGAGGCGTTGTAAGAACACACAATTTTGCACCATTTCGCTCCTGACTTTAGTTGAAGGATGGGGATTTTTCTTTTTCAAACTCCACACATGAAAACATATGACATTATTATTACTTATGAAATGGTCAGCTCTATGAAGACAGGTCTATCTATAACAATAACCATTTTGAAGCATTTTTTTCCAACACATTGACTCTCTTTGTGCTTGCTTGTCTTTTTGTGTACAGAACATGGCCTGCATGGAATGATACTATCTTAGTCTAAATTTAGTCATTTTGTAACACTGACAAACAACATGATAATTTCAGGCCGTGCCATAAAACCATTAACAATTCCCCCATGCACTGACTAATTATTACATCCTCTAATAAAAGTAAAATGTGGGTAAAAATGCATACTGTACGGAACTGGGATTTTGCAGTTAATTTGACATAATGGATTTTGCAGCATCCTAATTAACCCAGAACAGTGGATAAAGCCCACACAGTGACGGTATACAGTATACGCAGGCATTTAAGAACTATATTAATGTCTGAATGAGTCACCGGTATGGATCGCAGCTTTATGTCCACAATCAAACTGACAAGCAGAATGTTCTCTTATGTAAGGCACAGTAGGCTCTAATGCAGACAGTTATGAGCCCTTATATACTTTCAATATTGTGGAGAATCTGGCCCGAATCAAAACAAGACGGCAGAGCTCAAAATGTAAAATAGTGTAAGCCAAAAGATTTATTCCAGATGAAACAATGTGCACCTAGTCTGTCTCTGGTGTGTCCCCTTGTTTTTACCTGTGAGCTTTAAACATGGTGTCTCCGCCCACAGGGTACAAAAGGGTCGACCAGGACACTCCCTTTAATGAAACAAGTATGAAAAACATAATAATAAGGCATTAAAGGGGACAATGTATTAAAGGACAATAATATCCAAATCTGTATGGAATCTGCGGTGAGTAAGATCAACAAGGATATTTTCTCTTTGCAAATGTTTATGGCAATTTTTTCACCGTCCTCTCCATCCTCACACTATCTCTGAGGGAGTGGTCATTTTACTCATTGCCCTCAGCCATGACCAAAGGTGAGAATAAGAACACTTACACTATACAATAAATCGAATGAATTTGTCTTTCAACTCAGTTCCTTCTTCATCACAACAGTCCATCCTTCTCTCTCATTTGAACATCTGAAGAAACCAAGGCACCTTTTTTAGGTTGAACTCTGGTCTGGGATTGATTGTGATTTGATTAGTCTATAACTCCTATACTCTAGTCTGAAACAGGCTTTCCCTTATTCATAATCAGCACAGTATAGGTGCAGATGGGTGATACATTTGTACAACTTCTGAAGGAATCCACATCACAAGTATGTACAGTACTGCTGTCTAAATATGAGCTGAACTCCAGCCAACTTCCACCAGAATGATTCCATGATGAATAATGAAAAGTTGTATTGGAAACATCTATAGACTATGTAAGTACTCAGCTCTTATTGTAATCTATGTTCAGATACAAAGTCACAAAATTTACTCCTTTATCATCAGGTCCATCTTTGACCACGGTATAAAGAGACCGTGTTTTAGTTGACAGGGTGTTGTGAGGGACTTGCATGAACTTTGTGGATGGACATGGGGAGGGGATGCTGGGTGCAGGGCTCTCCTCACATTAGTGCTACTCAAAGTCCAGGAGCAGAGCTTTCCTCACAGCATCACAACCATCACAAGCATCAGAGAGCGGAGCTGCCTCTCCTCCGTCTGCACGCTCTATCTCCGCCCCCGAGGGACGCGCTTCACCGTGCATACGGCACCTTTCTCTTCACGCCAGCTGTCGTTAAATCAGATATTTGAGGGAAAACGACGGGCGCGTATCCACGAAAACACCACAATCCACTAGAATCTTCCTTCAATTCAAATGTTGGATTATGGAGACGTCTTTCAACTACGTGCGCTTTCCAAGATTCAATCACTCAAGGTAAAAGCAGCTTGATAGAAGACGTCCGTGGAGGATTTTTGCGTTGACTTGTGGCTGTGAATATTCGCCTGGGATGTCTGTGGCGCTGCTGTAGTGCGCACAACATGCATTAGGTTGGTTGCTTGGAGTTTGCATTGCCTCCTGTCATCTTCGTTGTAATTATTTTAGGCGCAGCGTGCATTGGATCTAAGCACTCACACGCACAGCACCGCTCGTCTCTGTGTGGTCATCTAATTGGCTCCGAGGATCATAATGCCCACCGCGCCACCAGGAGTTCCTAATATTGCGATATAATAAAGCTACGCGGGGGCTGTCTCGGTCGCATGTGCCCGGAGCGAGCGCATAAACATGACAAAATCCAGCCTCATCAATGGGAGAGAAGGTGCCTATTATTCCAGAGGAAGTCTTATAGCCGGGATCACCGCTGAGTACTTGGACTGCACCGGAGTTGTGACCGTGGGAGCTGGAGCAGAAGAGAGGTTGAGGGAACATGCTGTGGTCCAGGTTCCAGTGATGGACTGAGCATCACCTCGTATCCTCTTTAAGCACTTGACAACGGCATGGACGGACACACTGCAGCGTGAAGAGCTGTTCACGCACACTTTGGCCTAATGCGTAAAACACCTCGGCCTATTTCTGACTCCAGTCGTTTGCTCCGCTCCTCTCAGGTCCACACTAACTGAGGATCACCTTCTGCCTCCCCCAAAAGAGAAAGCACTGCTCCAAAGCGCCCCAAAAGTGCCCAAGTGGAAACCGGCCCCGAGTTCTGGCTTGCGCACGCAGATGTGTCAAAGTGTTTAAGATTTTTTCTTCTGGGAGTCCTGTGTTTTCGGGTAAGTGCACGGAGATCCTCTAACCATTCATTATGATCATGTAGAGAAGTGTCACTTGTTCTTTTGCATTTGAGAGAGCGATTCAAGCAATGAATGTATGAACATTCTGTAGACTATAGAAATGCAAATCTGCATTTGCATTTCTACAGTCTGCAAATTGTTCTTGAATTAATGTCAATAAAAATGGCCGTTCTGTATATTGCCTCTAAAGTCGATAACACATGTATTGTATACATTTATGGATAAGCTGCACCTTCATTGCTCTTTAAGTCCTATACAGTATTTGTTATGGTCTTGTCTGAAAAGAAACAGTTCTCTCAGACCTTATCCTACACACCTGAGCTGTGACTGGTGGAGAGGTGAACGTCACAGATGTCACTCCCATCTAAACACATACACTCAAAGAAATGATTCAGGTGGTTAGTATTTTGAACTCAAAATACATACTAAACTAAACTCAATAATTGATTTTTGCCAGTTTTACTTAAATTAGTGTGGTCGCAACTCATTTTAAACATGCCTGTCTCAATTAAAAGTTAATACAAGAATCCTAACTCATTTTTGTAACAAATTTGAACTTGATATTCTGGCATAACTGGACAACGGAGAAGTATTGAGTTTGCTCAACATGAAAATCCTCTTGTAAGCCTGGTGGCCCATTAATGAAAAAACAAATATATTGAGTTGATTCAAAATAAATATATTGAGTTGATTCAAAATAAATATATTGTGTTGATTGAAAACAAAATGTGGCGAAGCAGTGACGCTACCCAGAATGCATTGCAGCAAAAAATATAAACTTCTTAAAAATTCTACATTTGAGCATTAATTTTAAAACTGAATATGAAGCAAGTCCTAAAGCAAAATACTTGAGCAACATTCTGAATAAACTAATTTGACCAAATAAGTAATTGTATTTATTTTTATCAACCATGATCGAGAGGGCCAAGCCAAAGCAGTCCTATACTCCCTGTGTCACCCTTCAATTTTGAACAAATTCAAGGTGGACATGTTTACCAGTGACTGTGCTGGCCCACTCTCATATATATGTGGAGTGAGAGACTACTGCCTAAAATTAACAATTGTGAACCGTTTTGTGAATCTAATCTTTGAAAGATGGTATTTGAATAAAGATTACGTATTCCTGACTGAAAATCACTTGTTGAATATACTCAAAAAGATTTATTTTCAATGTAATTATTTAAGTTGGTAGTATTGTTAAAATTGAGTTGAACTGATGCTAAAACACTTGCTGAATATACTTAACAAAGTGTCTTTATAACTCAATTATCCAAGTTGGTGGTATTGAAAAAATTGTGCTGGACCAATGATAAAAGACTTACAAAGAATACTTAAAACACAGTCTTGTTCGCAAAACTTAAAAAGATGCATGCAAAATGCTGCCTCAATTTTATTAAGTTTTGCCAATGCATTTTTTTTTAGAGTGTACCATGCACCTACATCTATACATTATTCATGTTTCACTTATAGATATGGACTTTTCATTCTGTTGGTTTGAGGGCGGACTTTTCTTTTCTGGACAGGCATTTTAGAACAGTAATATCACTTTTGTTCACCATAGATCAGGGTTTTCCAAACTCCATACTTGGAGCTCACCACCCCAAGAATCTACACGACAAATAATCTGCTATACTTCAAATAATACTTCAAGTTGATTCATACACAACTACAACTTTTATACATGCGTCTAACTGTGCTCATCCATGGGCACTATGGATGGATTTTTAGGGGGTTTAAAAGAGCAGAATGTACTTTTATTGTGTTTGGAATCCTTTTAGATCACGCCAATCTATCTATTTAACTCAAAGCTTGTTATATTTTCATCTACAAACATGGATGATATAGATCTTGTAAAGCTGTCACTTGCTCCTCACTGGACAGTCTAAAGACTGGCAAAGCAGATTCCATAAATAGAACAAAACTCAGCGTGTGCTCAGCAGGTGTCCCACAGAGAGTAAGATATTATTAATTCATATGTGTTATTTCAAAGTGGAGCCAAGGCCAGACCTGCTGCTCCTTTCGTAGAATACACATACTGATTGATATTGACTGATTTGTTTTATATTTATTGAACCCACAGGAGATTTTCAGGTGGAGGTTATTTTAGGTTCTTTGATTTGCTCTTGTACATTTGCGATCTGTCGCCCAGTGATCCTGTCCCAACGCATTTATGCCGATACGTGTTTGGTGGAACACAACTTAAACTTGTGTCAAACTAACGCTTAGATTTAGGATATATAGTAGATAATGAAAGCGCACCGTGTAGGATTTGAGTGGCATGGAGTTGAATAGTATGATTAAAGATATGAACTTGCACTAAGATGTTGAGAAATACCTTGGGCAGCTCTCAGTTTGGCTCATGTGTACTGTAGTAACCTTAAAACCAATATAATAAAGCATGCTTACACTGCAGTGCTGAGGATCTGCAGTTAATGAAATGTCCAACAGAAATATCTGACCAAGATAAGTCCAGCGCAGTGTGACTCATTTACCATCACTGGATATTCTGGTCTCCTTTTAGCGAGATCTTTGACAACTATCATGAGATTCTAATGTGAAATTGAAATAGCTAAGCCATGAATCAGTGTTTTTTACAGTTTTTGGTGCAAAGATCTGGAGTCTACAGCGCAGTTGTCAGCCTATCCATCCAACCAGTTCCACTGCTCCTCAGTTTCTTCAGCGTGCCACATGGAGGGGGCTTTCCGCTCCTGCCAAGGACAGAAAGACTTTGTCAGTCTGTTTAATCATTTGCTCAAAAACGTAGGCAATCCTGTCAGTAGGCTGCAATCCCAAAACCTTCAAAAATCTATTCAACGCCACTTCTCTGACAACTCTGATGGATGTCTCACCAAAAAGTCTTCTACTGTTATGTTTAATCCTACCTCTATTCGGAAATACACTAGCATTACTGTATGTGGGAACTAAACATTGATTTCACAGTAGGACACTGCTCAAATAAGCCTGCCCTGAAGGAGCATGTCACATATAGAAATGCATATTTTGGCACATATTTCATAATAACACATGTCTGGCATAATGCTACCGGAAAATATTCACATTTAAAACCCCTAGACCTGGTTAGTAGTTGTCCCTGTTTAAATACAGAGCTTCGTTGTACAAAAGATAAATGAAGTTACAATGTTAAACTGTGACAATAAGTCCCTTAAGTTGAGGTCAGTGACATTCAGATTCATTTATTTTCCATTTTCAGTAAAACCACATTGGAATACATGCCAAAGTCCCCAGTGTACACGAGACATAAAGTACAGTTTTTTGGGGCCTAAAAGCTGTACCCGTCTTCCCACCTCACTCATTATACCACATTTTGAACATTGTGGCAGAATGGTTATCGAGTCCCAGTCTAAAACCTACACTTGTATCTGCCATCCAGCTACATGGACACTTCTTCAAAGTCGTGGCTGCCCCATCAGGCTCAGTTTGGGTTGGTTGGTCAAGCGGAGGTTTGCTGTGGTCCTCCCGGAGTGTTAACCCCAAGTGAGTGAGCCGCCCAGGCCGTAACCTCCGCTGTCTGTCGGCTGCTGACACGTGTGGCTCCTGTGGTCAAGGATCTCTGTCGTATTCGTGTTTTTCGGTGTCACTTTTCTATGTCGTGTGGTGTTTGCTGATGCCTCTGTTGGTCTTGGCATGGGATAGTCTGATTTCAATGTTCTGCTGATCTTTCCAGTGCTAGTGTCTCATTGTTGTACCCTCCAAATAAGGTCATTCTATAGACTTTTACTGTACCCCTGGTTGGGAATCACTGTCTTAAACCATAAATCCTGAGACCTCTGTGTGCATGCAAATTGGTAATTATGTATATCCACTGTAATTGTTGTCTAAACTTTTCAAAACAGTTCTACATTCACGATTAGATTCCATCATTCGCCAGTTTCAGAGGAGAATACGAACTCTTGTGTTGGCAATGAGAACAATTTTACAAAAGTATCTTTATTCCGTTTCTAGTTGTTCCCCTGGCCTCCTCTGACTGTGACTGGTGTTATTTTGACATCCTTCTAGTTTGATCGCTCCATTTCCTCTGGGCGCCAGCTTTGATAGGTCTGTAAGTGATCCCACTCTTTACATTGCCACATGAAAGGTGGCATTTCCGGCACCCTATAGGGAAAGTAATAATAAAAACAGACTTTAATACTTATTGCTGTTCTTTCAACACATTGGAAATAGCCTCTTGTCCGGTTCAGATGAAGTTTGGTCCATAGACTATAAATAGATGCTAATCCTCCTGGAGTTTTTATTTTGTAAATCCACAGATGAGCCATTAGGATTGATCATTCTGAGGCCTACATTCGAGAGGGAAACTCAAGCGTGCCTTAGCAACCATCTTAGCAACTTATCTCCCCATGTTACGTCGCAAAGCTCACCCGGTCTGAAAACATGTCTATATAAGGACATTTGCTCAAGCTTGCTTTTGTTCAAATCAGCTTCATCTGCACTTGGTGAGTCCACTCATAACATATACTGGTTATCTATGGTGTGGACACAATTCTTACCATCTCTATATAATGATGCACAGTGGTTAGCTTTTGTGCTTCACAGCAAGAAGGTCCTGGGTTCGATTCCACCTGTTTGCATGTTTTTTCTGTATTCGCGTAGGTTTCCTCCAGTTGCTCCATTTTCCTATGCGCCTCCTGTATGGTGACCCCGCTCCCATCACTGTGTGGAGTGAGAGGACAGAAGCCCACAGCGCTTTGTGACTCTGTCTGTGAAATAAAGATATAGATAAAGATTAGGTACATACAGTACTTACAGTACTATGATATCAGTGAAGAGATGAAGAGAATGATGTTACACAATATATTTCAGCTAACATTTTTGTTGTGACATCTCCTGTGTGTGGTGTTGAGTATAATCTCAATTTTGTAATTTGCTGTAAAAGAAAATTCCTTGATAAATGCACTGAGTGTGTTGGTAAAAAGCAGTAGTGAGTTGCGGATGCAAACACGTTCCTATGGTAACCAGGC